CTCACCGTCGTTGAGCTAGCAGATGGAAGACCGAGCTCGATCCGCCACTGTAACGCCGGCGTTGCAGCGCCGTTGACGTCGCTGGTGCTGGCCGTCTCCGGTGTCCCTGCCTCCATTGTTGCCGGCTACCTCTTCGTCTGTTGCAGAAGCGGAAGTGGTCTAATGGCGATGGAGACGAGATTTCGTCTGCAGGTCTCTTGCTTTCATCCGTAGCGGAAGTGGTCATGGCTATGGAGCCGAGACGTTAAGATTTCGTCCGCACAAGCCTCTTTTTTGTCCTTTTCAAAATAGGTCCTACTTTTGGAAAATGAAAAGTCATGAGTCTTATTTTAGCCTTTATTTCTTGTCTGTCGTGCCTAATATAAATCTCATTGTTGCAGTAGGTGGTACCGTGGTAGGGCCTTTGAAATTTGTTTTGGAAACTCGGGCCAGAATATGTTTCTCTAAACACCTCTTTTTCCAATTAAGAGATCGTGTTTTGTTTTCAAAAATGCTTCTTGTACACACATTAGTACACACCCTTATACACACTATAAAAGGACTTTATTTTTTTACCTCCATCCCATTTTTTTTACCCTTTCTCTTCTCACCCCATTCTCTCACATCCCTTCTCCCCTACGCCCTGCTCTGCTCACCCCCCTTCTCTCATTCTTCTTTTTACTTCCTTCTCATTCCACTTTGATTCTCCCTTTCCAAATCCTAGAAAAAAACTTTTAGGTGGTTACCTCTCTTCAAATCCGAGCCCATAAGCGGCGAGTATGCAGCTGGAAGTCGAGAATGAGACCGATGATTTTCCCCATCAACCAGCCCACAAATTGAGGTAATACCCTATTCGATTTTTCTATTGCACTTTAGGGTTTTGTTTATTTAAAATATATGATGATTTGTGTGTAAACATTGATTTGTTGAATATTTTGTATTATTGTAAGAGAATGTAGGGTTAACTATTGAAATTTTTAATTCAATTACTCTATTTCACAAGTATGCACATAACATGTTTGTTGAAATTACTCAATGATTTTCTTTTGTTTAAGTCCAAGTCTTTTACTCTCCTTTTTTTGTGACTGGTCTTTTTTGTTAATTAGTTCAAGATTCTAATTTTCTTGTTTCCCAATTTGATTAATGATATAGTTGTTTTTATTGACTATTATATTTGCCTATTATGCTTTTACTAGTTATAAAAAAATATATGTTTTACTAGTTTTTTGTTGCAGGTTGCTTCAAATAAGTTGAAGAGAGAGTGGCTGGAATTTTGCATTTTTGTAGATATGTAATAACCAATCTCAGGAGACCTTTCTAAGTAGCAGTAGTTGTCATATGCTTCCTGTTTTTAGGACCTTGTGAACCCAAATTAAAATACTAGAGTATAACCTGAATAGACTACAAATACTATGAACATTTGAATAGACTGGATTACCAATTAGAAATCACTAATAATTGTCAAGTTGATCTTTGTGTGGGGTTACTTTATTGTCATAACCTTTTAACAATCAGTTACATACGTGTAGTTATTAAAAAAATAAAAATATTTGTACCTTAACACTATTTATGAAGTGGATAGAACCAATTTATCATCTAAACTCTAAAATTTTTAAATTGGAAACATGTTCAAAGATTAAAACACTTAAAGCATGTATGTTTTATCTCATATTAAATGTATGAAAATGTCGAATATTGGACGTTACTTTACTCATGAAATATATTTTGCAGGTCTGATTGTTGATCAAATATTCAAATTGTTGATTTAACATTTAAGCCCAAGTTTGAGACGGTGAGATCGGATGAAGCAGTGAATGGAACTATGGAAATGTTATTGCTATTAATCTTGTCACTGATCTTTTGTATTGGACATGTATTAGTATTTAGTGATGTTGGGTTGGATAAGTGAAGTGTTAGTAATTGTATGGATGCAATAAAAAGTGTCTTGTAATTGTAAGTTGTTTTGTTTGGCTGCAGTGGTGTCTGTGAACCAGATATGAATTGTCTGGTCACAGGCAATAGTCACTTAAATAAACTAATAAGTTGAGAGAAATTGTGTTTGAACCAGATATGAAGTGACTTCTCATAATTTTCTATCCCAATTGAAATTCTGAGAAAGTGTATGTCTCCATTTATATTGTCTGTGTTTTTATATATTATCTTTGTGTGATTAAAACATTGTTGCTGTATTCATTATGTGTGTTCGTTTATTTTGTCTATGTAGAATATAATATAATTGTCTGTGTGTTTATTTATATTGTGTGTGCGTGGTGAAAACGTTGTTAGTGTGTTTATTTATTTTATTTGTGGATGAAAAATAAAGGTTTTTTCACAAATATTACCAAAAAATAATTAATGGACAAAAATATTACTCTGTATATAGTTACTATGCAAGTCAATATAGTGGTAGAGTTGAACACAATCATGGTAACTAAAGTTACTATGGTAGTCACTATGTCCTATTTTTGTCCACTACTTTTGTTTCGATCATATATTTGTCATTATTTCTAAAAAAATAATTGTAATTTATAAATTTTAGAGTGCAATTTGTTTATAATATTTGAGTGTATATTCAATGTTTGTATTCCACTTTTATTTTGATTTAAATTAGACTTGTATTGTTTGGGTTTTCAAAGTGTATCTTTTGTATCCATAGAATGACTTTGGATGTTGTCAAGGTAATTTGTCTATGTTCAGATAAAATAAATGAACACACAGACAATTGTTGTCTATGTAGTTACAAAATAAATGAACAAATAAACAATATTTTAACCATTTACAAACTAAAGTGAAGACATAGAAGATGTTTTGACTATATACAGACAAAATAATTGTACACACAATATAAACATAAACGATATTTCGACTATGCACAAACAAAATAAACCTTCACACAAACAATTATTGTCTACACAAAGACAAAATAAATAAACACATAAATATTTGTTTTACCACGCACAAACATTATAAACGAAGACACAACACAATGATTGAACTATGTACAGACAAAATAAACCAACACACAGACAATGCTTCAACCACACACAGACAATAAAATGATTCATAACCATGCCCAAGCAACTCATATGGACATTTCAGATATAATTACCAAATAAATATGGATGGAAACTAACTTTCAAGCTTATATATACAAGTATTAAAGGTCGGAAATGGCTTTCATCTGAAGTGCCTTGCTACAGTTTAGAATAAAACTCAGTTTAACTATACGAAATTGGAGAAATGCCATAAACCAAAGGATAATTTTGGGGGACATCTTGGCTAAGAAGAATTCTAATATTACTTTACAAAGTGACTATTACAACAACTAATTTAATAGAGGTAAACAACATATATGATGTTCTTAATGTCATCGTATCATCTGATCGCCACTTCTTGACCAAGCTGCAAGGAGTCATTCGGATGAAGAGATTTAAACTGGAAAAAGAAATTTAATATCAATTAAATATGAAAGCACACTATAACACACAAAAATTAATAAAAGAATGTTATCCATAATTGTCTTAGTATTTTATATTCATGTTTCTAATATTCAACAAATATTCATTGCAACCTTTTTACAAACACTTAATGTGCAAGAAAATAGAATAGAATGCTTAAACTATAAACTCAATAACCAACTTGACAAACTAAAAAATGAGAAGCAAGTAGGTAAATAAACAACTTCACAAGCATAAATTAAGCATAAAAATAGAGTTAAAAAGCTAAATAAAATTCATAACAATAAAATAAAACAGTCTAAGAAGTTAACAAAAGATGAAAATGAACACACAAATAGTGGATACGAATAAAAAATTCATTGAGTCATTTCTACAAATATCTTTTGGACATAAAGTGAAATAGAATAGTTTGAATTAAAACTTTAATAATAAGCATCACAAATCTATAACAATATATCTATGTAATCAAGCATTCAACATTAACATACATTATATACATAAAATCGAAAAAAAACAAATATAATCCTAAATGTATAAAGAACACAATGATCAAGGTAGAGAAAAATATAGGCTGAAATTTACATTCAAAACTGCTGCTTGTTGGAAAAATGAAGTAGATCAATCATCTTTATCTCTTTCGTCTGCATGATTTCGAGCTTAGGTGGAGGAAAAAATGGGGGAGGGGAAGGGGGGGGAGAAGAATGGCGTAGAAGATGGAAGGGTGAAAGAGGAGAGAAAGGGCGTACAAAAAGGTGGGGGAGAGAGGAGAGATGGGGGAAGAGGTAAATGAGGTGAATGGGGTAATTATTTTTGGGAGTATATATAGTGGGTATATGGTGTGTATTAAAATGGGTACAAAGAGAAAGTAACATAGGTGATAGGTGTAGTAAAATAGGGTAACATGGTGTGTAGTATAATGGGTACAATGAGATGGCGGAAAAACTCTTTTGTTTTTCCTTGTGTATCCATGTTTCACATGTTTCGTGTAACATAGGTGATAGGTGTAGGCACATTCTCGAGAAAGTAAATAAAATGAAGAGAAAAGTTATAGTATATCGAGTAATATATAATTGGGAGATAGTTGTTGATGCGATAACACATAAAAAGTAATGTGACAGAATGAAAATTTATTTGTAATTGTATATGGTGTAAATTATTTTACATTTGTACCACATATTGGATAGAAATTTAAACATAACTTATACATTTTTAGTAAATATATGATTCTTAGGCTATGTTAGGCGGGCATAAGTCCATGACTTTTAGCTTTTGTACTGTTCAAAAAGTTCCTAAAAGCTTCTAGTTGTGTGTTTGGCATGACAATATTTAAGAGCTTTTCAAAAATTAAAAGATCTTTTTTGAGATGCTACCGAGAGTAGCATCTAAGAAAAGCTAGTGACTTTTAGTATTAATTAATCCTAACAGCTTGTATACCAAACCGAACTACATCAAACAGACAGCTTTTTATCAAACAGCTACCACCTTTTCTTTTTAAGATCTTTTCAGTCACTAAAAGCTAACAGCTATTAAAAAGCTCACAAAAGTATCTTTTCAGCTAGTTGTGCCAAACATGCCCTTAGAGTAAAAAAATAAAAAGGCATAATGGAATATCATTGCTATTTTAAGCATTAGAATTGTTAAAATATGTACACAAGTGACTTCTTCCTATAATTTAGTCCCATCTTTTATAAAGTGGATATACAATGAAACTCGCAGCATGTTTATGGCGCTATTAGAACACTAGTCTCAGGGAATCCCACCCCAACAAGTTATAGACACCTCATATCAGTATGAAGAATGGACAACACGCCATTTAATTCCCCCATCCATGGATTTGAGTCTATTCCTGCTACAACGGTAATGAGTTCCCTTTGCACTTCAATCCTACTAAAACCAGGGATCTTCTTAATCCCCTCATCCACCATTGCTTGCCTGACCATCTCTGCTTCTTTCCACTGCCCACTTGCACAGTACAGGTTGGACATTAACACATAGCTCATCTCATTCTGGGGCTCTAAAATTTTCAGACTTTTCCCCAACTCTAGTCCCAATTCTATATCATGTTGAGAAGAACAAGCTCCAAATAGAACTTCTCGTGGCAGGGCTGTGCTATTTCTTTCAGAGTACACATCAGCAATCCTTCTTGCTTCTTCCATATACCCACCACGGGCTAATATATCAACCAAACAAGTCACATGATCAACCCCGGGTGAAATCCCATAAACACCCGCCATTGACTCAAACAAAGCCCCACTGTTATCTACAAGCCCTGAGTGGCTACAGCTCATCAACAGCCCTATAAAGGTTGCTTTATCTGGACACACCCCACATGCCACCATTTCCTCAAGAAGCTGAAAAGCTTGTGTAGAACATCCATGGAGTCCATACGAAAATAACATGGTATTCCAAGACACCAAATCCTTCTCAAGAATCTCACAGAACGCCGCATGTGAATCTCTTGTCTCCCCACATTTACCATACATGTTGACCAAGCCATTTCCAACATAAGTGTGGGAAATAAACCCCTGTTTAAATCCGAAACCATGGACCATTTTGCCATGACCTAACACAGGCAAGGTAGAACAAGCATGCAAAACGGCTCCAAGTGTAAACTCGTCAGGCTTTATATCGCTGTCATTTCTTGACATATCAATGAAGAGGTTTATTGCTTCTTCTCCATGCCCATTTCTGGCACATCCTGCAATCATAGTTGTCCATGAAACCAGATTCTTCATGGCTGCCTGAGTGAAAGCAGTAAATGCTTCACATATGTTGCCCAATTTCATGTGAATGTCAATTACCACATTCCACGAAACTTCATTTAGAACAGTGTCGGTGCCTTGAGCCAACTTCAGAGCATCTTTATGGCGACCCACAATGGCATAGAAACTGAGAGTTGAATTATTCGCTTCACTGGCTGAACTCCAACCACTTTTCAGAATGTAACTATGCAATGTACAGCCGAGGGAGTGTTGTCTTGATTCAGAACATGCAGTCATGAGAGCACTCAATGTCCATTTGTCTGGAGTACAAGGCTCCTCAAACATATCTCTGAAAAGGCCAAATGACAATCCCACTTCACCTCGTCTAGAATGCCCAGCAATCATAGTATTATATGCAATCACCCCTTTCTTCAACATTGACTTGAAAATAATGGTGGCTATGTCCAATTCATTCACATTAACATACGCAAACAATAACGAAGACCATGAAACTTCATTAGTGGCATCCATCTCTTCAAACACTCTATTTGCATCATCATGGCTGAAACATTTCCCATACATATCAATTAGTGCATTATTAACTGGCAAACATGCATTATACCCACACAGAATTAGAAGGGCGTGGATTTTCTTCCCATATTTGAGCTCACTTGAGCCTGCACATGCGCTAAGCATGGATGTAAATGTATAGTCATCTGGTTGAACTGCGCCGATCCTCATGTTCTTGAACAAAGAGAGTGCTTCTTGGTGAAGACCGGATCGGGAATAACTGCTGAGCATTGAGTTCCAGGCTACTACATCTCTGAGAAGCATTTCATCGAACAGCTTACGAGCGTGCATGACCTGGCCTGACCTTGCTAGGGCAATTAATTTTGTAGTCATATATACTAAATTTGACTGCATAGTGAGGTGGCACCTTGGGTGAAGAAGATTTGTGCAAGTTTAGGAAAGAAAAAGAAAACTAAAACCTAAGATTGGTATAGCACTTGAAAATATCATAAGGACATCTGAATTTCTGTGCTTAAGAGAATCAATGCCAACAGAGAAGGGGACCGCACCTTTAGGATCATGGTTGCTTTTATCAGAGGTGTCTGCATTCCTGCCTCGAGCCGTTGAATGGGAGTTCCTTCTTCATCATTGGCAGCTGCTTGACAAGCATAAACCTAACAATAATGATGAAAGCCAGTTGAAGATGAAGTCTAAAACGACTGCTGCTGAGGCTATTGCGACGATGCAAAGATCAAAGACTTACCAATCCCCAGCTGGTTCCAACATGTTGAAGAAGGGGAAGCTGCACAGCGACCCGAAAGTTGCTTCGGCAATAGCAGTTGCTCGGTCTGTGCTAAGGGATGTGAATCATGGGGCTGCAACACCGCCGTTGAGTGCAATGAGGGCACCCAAGCTCAAGTGCTGCTCAGCAACAGGAATGGCAAGTCGAGGAGAACGATCTGCAGCAGTGCTACAATCTCTGAGGAGAAGGCAGACGTTTGATACTTTGATTCTGATGATGAAAATTGATTCCCCTCTTCCAGTTTCTCTTGAGTAGAGTAATAATCCACTTGTATAGTTGTATGTATCGTGTTGCTTGGGACCAGCTTTTTTTCCAGGTAAAAGTACAAATATATCCCTGAAATATTAGTACGAGTGTGTGAACAAATATACACTTTTTTTATTTTTCGGAACAAGTATACCTCTGAAATATATGTTGAAATTCATATATATGCCCCTGAACTTTTAAAAAGGTTCAAAAATATCTTTCATATTCTTATAAAGGAGCAAATTTATCTTTATTGACTTTAAATTGATAAAATAAATTTCATAAATCACCAAAAATAAATTATAAATTCAAAAAAATGTAATTGTATCCATTTCTCCCTTTTATTTTTTTCATATCACAATTTAATATTGTTTGTGTAAAATATTATTTCAAAATCTTACTGTATATTTAAGATTCTTTCGAAAAAGTGTTAACATATGTGTTACAATGTAAAAAAAATATTTTTTGCATTCTTTGCACTATAAAATTACATATTTTGTATGATGATATATAGCCCAAGATTACAAAATAGTGAATTTAATTTTATTAAGGTTAAACAAAACCAAAGAATGTTATTTCAAAAAAGGTAACAATGTGTTCAAAATTTCGTAACAAGACTAAAATTAATATTTATGAATTTGAAGCACTTTATTTACAATGGAAAGATAATACTTTTTCAATTTAAAATTAAAGATTTAATATTTTAACTTAAAACTAAATATTTATGTGTAAGTTTTGAATTTTCAATTTATTTCTGGTGTTGTTTGAAATTTATTTTATCTATTTAAAGTAAAAAAGGGTAAATTTGGCCATTTACAAGAACATGAAGGGTATTTTTGAACCTTTTAAAAGTTCAGGAGTATATGTGCACTTCAATATATACTCCAGGGGTATACTTGTTCTGAAAAATAGAACAAGAGTGTATTTGTTCTCACATCTATACTAGAAGGATATATTTGTACATTTTCCCTTTTCACAATGTAAAAACAAGTTCCAAATGAAATGCATACAATTTTTTTTGGGTAAAGGGGCAAATAAGCCCTCGAACTAACAGAAAAAGTGCAAATCACCCTTTATATAAGAGGCTTTGTCCGGCCGTCGTCATTTGGGGAGGTTCCCGGTAGAATTTTTTAATGAAAGTTTTTGAGCATCTTCTTCATTAAGTGTAGTTTATCCATACCAAATTTCAGATAAAAATGCAATGCGGAAGGCATTCAAATGAATTTTTGAAGATAACTGCGCAGTTAAACATCGCAGCATATTTCAGAAAATCATTTAACTGTCTTCCCGGTTTTATTTTTAGCTTAAATTTGGTATGAGTAAACTAGATTTAATGAAGAAGATGCTTAAAAAATTTCCTCAAAAAATTCCATCGGGAACCGCCCCAAATGACGACAGCCGGACAAAACCTCCCGTATAAGGGGTGATTTGTACTTTTTTTGGTTAGTTCCAGGGCTTATTTGCCCCTTTTCCCAATTTTTTCAATATAAGAATTACTACGTATATTAGAGTAGTCTAATTGTTTTGTTTGAGTTTTCTTGTTTTTTTTGGAACGGAAACTTACCTCTATTCAAATCATTAGTTTCAGGATCATTACAATTGTAGTTTTAGGGTATGTTTGGCAAATGGCTTATCAGCCGGCTTTTAGCTTGTTTGACCCATTTCAGCTGTTTGATTGGTCAAAGAAGCTAATAATGATGTTTGGTAAATGGCTTTTAAAATTAGCTTGTTGAGTTTGAAAAGCTGAAAAAATGGATTGTTGAAGAAGCTAAGGGGGGTAGCTTATTCATTCGGCTGGTTCAATTTACACTCTATCAACCATTTTGAAACAACCAATTTTACCAAACAGTTATGTATAATCAGCTAACATAACCAGCCGGTCAAAACAGCTAACACAACCGGCTATTAGGAAACAGCTAACACAACCAGCTAACAACAACAGCTAACAGCCATTTGCCAAACATACCCTAAAACTACAATTGTAAACCCTATGGTGAGCCTTAGAAATGGTCACCCCTGAAAGAGCAACACGAATCGTTAACCGTGAAGCGGGTTTGACACAACTGTCCCTGATTCTATAGATCCATATACTCCTAACGACATAAAAATAGGCAAGCTTCTAAACAAAATGACAATCCTAACGACATAGACGTTAACAAGAATCCAAATGACAAAAAAATAATAACTAAAAGCATAACTTTCACGAACACTAACACTTTGTTTAACTCATGGCGGTGGTTCAGCAGGAGGTCGTACCAATGGTACCACTTTAATTGATTCTCCATTTTCGATCAAAATCTGGCCTACGCGAAACCCGTCAAACTCTCCTCATCCCTCACTCGTAGCAAAACCATCACTAGTTGGTATCTTCTTCGCTGCCAAGCTCTATGATGAATTCATCTTCCCTATCTACTCGCCGAAGAATACGTCGATTCGAGACGCGCGCAAAAAACTCAAACCCTAATCAATAGGGAGACGGCCGCTAGAACACTAATAGATCCCGATCTCGATCCTTCTCCCTTGGAATTGGAGATCCTGCCTGTGCGAAAACACCCACCGGACTGATAATTTAAATGCGTTTCACTTTTAAAATAAGAAAATTTGAAAATAATAATGTTGCTTGTTTGCATTTAATAATACAAATATCGACTATTCACAGCCTCCCAGGTGTGCTTCCAACTGTAGGGATCAATAAAAAGTAGTACATGACCTACTATAAATTTGGTATATTATTTTAATTTTAAATTGGAATTAATTTTAAACGAGGCAGAGTGGGACTTCGTCATGGGGGGGGGGGGGGGGGGGGGGTTAAAATGAATGAAAATAATTGAGTGCATCGTAAAATACTAGTGTACATACACATGTACACTATTACAATTGTAGATGGGCTGATTTAATTTTTTTGAGAGTTTAGAACAATTCAAAATAGAAATGTTTGAATAGTGCTTAGAAAATGAAAACTAATGCTATGAAATGATTTTTTTTGGGTGTTTGATTTTGCATCACACAATTAAAAGCATACTATCGTATTAAATATTACCCTCCCCCGTCTCTAAAAACTTGGCAAAGATTATCCAATACGGAAATTAATAAAGGAAAAGCTGTGTGGTTGAGATTTATGAAGATGAGAGAGATTTAACTACAACCACAAATTGTTTACTTAAAATAGAATGTGCCAAAGTTAGTAGGACACTTAGAAAGATAAAGTTAACAAAGTTTTAAAGGTCAAAGAGAGCATGTCCTTTCAATCATGATTCTTCTCATGACATCATTGAGATGCATTGTTGAAGTTTGCTTTCGCTTCATCACTAACAACCAATCTTGAATACATTGTCCTTTCTGTCATGATTCTTCTCGCTTAATTACTCCATTGTCAATGTATAAGCAATGACAATGGAGTAGTTAAACATAAAGAAATTTAAGTAAAGAAGTTTTTTTTTAATGTTACGAAATTATAACTTGAACTACCCCCGTCCCACTAACATTGCGACATGAAGATGGTTCAATTATTAAGAAAAGTGAATTTATGAGGTTTACATTGAATTGATAAAATAAGAATAAAATACTACTCCCTCCGTCCCTCAATACTTTGCCAAGTTTGACCGACACGGGGATTAATAAAGTAAAAACTGTGTGGTTGAGATTTGAGCAGAGGAGAGAGAATTAATTGGAACCACAAATTCTTTACTTAAAAGGGAAAGTGGCAAAGTTAGTGGGACATCCAAAAAAGGAAAGTTGACAAAGTTATAAGGGACGGAGGGAGTATTGATTTAGAACTACACAAACTTTATTAGTTTGACATGAGACAATTTTAATTGGACAGATCAAAAAGGAAAGATTAGACAATCTTAACGATACGAAGGAAATAACATATTACTATCTGAGGAGTATGTTGAGTTGAACAGCGTGGTAGCAAAAAATATGCAAATCATATCGTACTATTTTATATACCGGTCCTAAAAAGGATCCATAATGTTGTCGTGATCCTTTTTAGGATTAATGGACTGAGCTACCATCATTACTGGGGCGATGTCAACGACACGTGTGTGCATTGATTTGACAAGTTTGTTGTCAAGTCATTAAATGTCACTATTAATGATGGGATGATTATTCAATAGTTGGAATTCACATATTCATTCAAAATCTCAAATGCTAGATGCTTCAGCTTCGAGCATTCTCTGATACTTAAAAAATTCTTCTAAGGTTTTGGACTCTAGCCGAGAGGGACTCCTCATCACCCAGGTTGAAACTCCACTCTCATTTTTCACTTCTAGAGCAATGGAGTGGGAGACGGAAATTATGAATTTTGAGACAAATGCCATTCTAGCTCGACAATCACTAAATTCAGCAAAGCAAAAGCATCGCCAACTTGACCTTGACCACAAACTGGGTCAGCTGGACCCCTTACCTCAGATTCCGGCCTCGGCAACATCATATACAAATCTACTCGGAGAGGCAAGCCTCTACCAGAACTAGCAAGCAACAGGTTCTTCATCAAAGGATACTACACCAACCACTCAGCACACCCCTTGGCTCGGAAAGGGCTTATACTTGGTTCTGTACCTGTTTGGGGGCGGTTTACTCTTTTTTCATTTGCGAGTTTTTCGCCACATGTTTTTTCCTAATCGAGTTTTTGACGCGACATCATATATCATTATATCCCATTGCGGGCAAGGAGTAAGTTATTTTCTAAATTGGGCAAAGCACGATACTTGATAGTCCTGTTCAGATAAACACATTGGAAGATCACCTAGAAGAGTTCTTACCTCGGGTCCTCGGGGAGTGACAGACTAGTGAAGGAGTATATTGTCATAGCACCTTAAGTCATATACATGAGTACATGACAGGCCGATGCCCTTCAGCAAGGTCAATATCTCATCATAAGCCCAACTCTATGCTAGCACGCACCTTCCGCTTCAGGCCGAGCGACTTTAGTGAGATTGAGCACAGTGGTTGTCATTACAGATCCTACACTGACACTACCGGATGAGGTTGAGCATACTTAAACCCAACAAAGCAAAAACATCCCCAACCAAGTAGGGGTATTTGTCAGTTTGATTTCATCAGTTTCGGCTTTGATCGGTTTTGGATTTTAGTCAGTCAGTTTTGAACTTTTAGTCGGTTTCAATTTTTAATCAGTCAGTTTTTACAACTGTTAGAACATGAGAAACTGAGAATCAGAGTATCAGACCAAAAAACTTGAATCATTTCAAGACATTAACAGAGAGCTCATCTCATTCCGACTTCCGAGGAACTAAAATTTTCAGACCTTTCATCAATTCTATTCCCAATTCTATATCATGTTGAGAAGAACAAGCTCAAAATAGAACTTCTTGTGGCAGCTATTTCTGTGAGAGTACACTGTACACATGAGCAATCATTCTTGCTTCTTCCATATACCCACCACGGGCTAATATATCAAGTTATCAACCAACAAGTCACGTGATCAATAAATACCTTTACATAGGATTTTCCAATAACAAAAAAACGTTCAAATACCTTTACATAAAATTTTCAAGCTTTACCCCTCATTTGCTATGTTATGTACATTCTTTCAAGGGTTGGTCAGGTCACTGTGCAGAGGAATGACAAGACAAAAGTTAAAGGGTACATTTCAAAGTCAATTTTTGGGTATTAAAAGTAATCATATTTTTTGTACGTAGAATCTAATTTTTAAATTAGGATTTAGTACTCCGTAGTACTCAAGCGAAAACCCCCAAAATAGGAAACTATTCATTTGGGATGAAGTACAAAAAGGAAGTCGGGATTTACATTCCCATCAAATGAGTTCCATGTTTCAACACCCCATCACACAGATACAAGATGGTGAAAGTAGTCATAATTTCACAAAACATGAAGCTTGATATCTGCGATGTGTGAACCAAGATTAATTGGAACTTCAAGAGAGACTGTCAACCAGCGTTAAGACATCATACAAGTTGGAACTTCACAGGAAGTCACGAACCATGCAGCAACCAACAGGTCCAACAAGAACTGCATAGAGCACAAACCAGCATTATGACCTTTTCATCCAGCAAGTGTCCCAAACTATCTTTATAAATCTTCTACTCTGTTTTTTACTTAAGCCACCATGTTTTCAAAAAGTTCAAGAATAAAGTTGTATGGTTAAAGAATAGTGTAGATGTTAAACCCTAGGAGGTAAAGATGAAAATTTAAAAGATATTAAGTCCCATTTTTAATAAATTTTTAATCGTAAAAAAAGTGAAGCAAATAACAAAACTTTTATAAAATGTTGGAGTAAAATAAACGGATGGTGTGATCTGTATGAGTGTTCAAAAGGCATAAACATGACATCCCGGGTATGGCATCAAACATTTTCCAAACCAAGGCATAAGTCTGATTTTAGCAGCATAGGGTGATTTTGTTACAATTATGCTCAACTCTAGGATAGTAGGATCTAGAATCAGACCATCAACTGTGTTAATTCCATGGTAGAGTTTCAAGTCTGTTTTGGAGCAGAATCATCATCACATGAAATCTGTCCATTGCTTTTTTTACTTCGATATCTGTGACTTGGAGAAGGGGATCGAGACACGGATCTGGAACGCTGCCTGGCATGCCTTTCCTTTGACGTTTTAATCCTCCTAGGGGACAGAGATCTTGATAGTGATCTGGATCTCCGAGGCGAATTATAGGCCGCCCTTTTATGCTCTCTTTATTGGGCATAGAAACAAACAGCAAGGCACATTAAAACAGTGGATTCAAAAGCAGGCATATCAGCTGTCAAAAACATTTGGTAATTTTCTTTTGAACTGAACTGGACATTCAAAGATACACAGGAAACCCAAAGATCCCTATCAACAAACACTAAAGAATGAAGAAATAAAAACATTCATCAAGGCCATTACCTGTATATATTTTTCAGTCTTGCTAAAATTACATATTGATGCAACTATTGTTTAAGGCTGACTGAACTTGGGGGTAGCTTCATATTATCAGTGGTTCCTTGGGCAAATCCCATCACATCTCAATCAGCAATATTAAAAAGCTCATGCTTCTTTGAAGATGATTTCTTTCTTTGGCCAACTAAGCTTTATATTCTTTCTTTAACTGAATGATACGCAACATCAATAGAGTTTGTTAATCAAATATAAATTTTATAAATAGAAAAGCTATGTTTTTGTTCATCAGTCCACATGTCATTTGAACTACTTCCATAAACACAATCTTATGCAAAGAAGTCCTTGAATAAATATCCTATGGATAGTCGGAAGTTATGTACCAAAAGAGGTATGTTCAAACAAAAAACACCAGCAAAAGCTTTTACAAATATGTGCTAATATAACATTGTAATTTATGATTGAAGTCCATCCTTTTGTTCCTTTATCAGCCCTAATTTCTACGATCCTCTTAGATTCTAGAAATTTTAGATAGTAAATTAGCTCTCAGATGCTTCTACTGTAAAAAGTAGAGTGCATTAGATCGATTTACTTTAAAAAAACACAACTGTGAATGATAAAAGGAAAGCAAAATATCACAAAGTTTACTGATAAGCACAGGAAAACTAGAATAAAATAAAGCACTTAATGAAAAGAATCCAACAATCAGTAATTTTCTTTTAAGACCAAACTACATGTTGCATAAATGATATCTTAAATAGAGTTGTTTCACTGGTGCAATTTTTAAAATTTTAGTTTGGTAAAACTATTGGAAATCATCAATTCCAGCCGCATAATTATATCTCTTTGTTAGTTCAACTAAATCCAACATATTCAACTTGTTTCACACTTTTTTGTAGAAATAACTATATTAAATAGTCAACTTCTCTTTGTTAGTTCAGCTAAACCCATCATATTCAACTTGTTTCACACTTTTTTGTAGAAATAACTATATTAAATAGTCAGTTTCTCTTCATTAAATTTGACTTTTTCAGGAAATAAGTTTTCAATGTTGGGACAGGAGTACATAAGATTAGCACCAACCTAACTGTATCGGCAATTTAAAAGAAACTCATTTAAGTACAGGGCTATGACAGAGCCGAGGACAACCTAGTTGCCACACTCAGTTCAAGCCCTCAGAAGTTGACTTAACTTGAATGATTTTGACTGGAGAGAAAAAGTTTGATTGATAGTTGTATTTGCGTTAACTAAGCACTCAAAGGCAATATATCCTTACAGACTTGAACCATATTCATCTTCTGCCTTTCAAAACCAAACGTCCAAAAGTAAAGAAGCCTTAAAAGCACCTAAATTTCCCACTCCAGCTCAGTTATCCAGAAGCAGGGTTTGGTTCAATGTGATTCAGTTAATAAAATTACAATCAAATGGGTCAGTTAATAATTTCACTTGTACACCAGGGTGGGAGTATGGAGGAAAGGAAAAAACGTAACAGACACATTGTGATTGTACAGCGAAAATGCAAATAGATGATGAGTGAACTTTGATGTATGGTAGGAAGAAAAATGTCCATATTGAAATTAATTACAAACAGACCTTGACGCTTGTCGTGCTGGAGTGGGTGACCGTGAATCAGCTGCCACAGAAAATCATAAGCTATTATTCATTGAGGAAACCTACGCAAAATAAACATAACACTACACTTCTACTTATCATTCATCAATTAATAAGAATATAATAAGAGCATGTCATGTACTCGTGTACTTATACACCCATAGAGGCACTCGTATTGTACATACATAAGTGTGAGTGAGTGTGAGTGTGAGTGTGAGTGCAAGCTCACAGATGAATTCCTACCAGAAAAATCATTTCGGAAATAACAAGTCAAAATCTTTATTGCTTTTTTTTGTTTGTAAATACAATTTCATTTACATAATCCATAGACCTCAAAATCTTTATTTGTTTCATTTTTCGTTGATGAAGTAAAATTTCATTCACATATGCATAAAGAAGGTACATGCAAATATGCAATGTACTTCCGCAGTTCCGCTTACACACTAATGCTCATGAAGCATAATGAATTTCATAAACTGCTGTATTCAAATTTAAGCACAACATGCTAGAACGTTCTTGTTAGCTAAAATTAAATAAATCAAGTAGAAAGTTAACTAACAGTGATATCTTCGCCTTGGGGATCTTGACGGACTGTGTCTTCTTGAACTCCGTCGATGACTATATAGCATCACAACAGAAAAGGTTCAAGATGCATCTGTGATGAGCGCAGTGCTAATTGCTAATAGACACAAAAATAAACAAGATAGACGCCATATATCTTCAGAATAACAGCATAGGAATACCTTGTGTTTGTGGTAAGCCTACGCATTTCATGTGGCGTCTTTCTATTTTCTTCAGCATATTCAATTTGAATTTCACGCCCACCAATGACAGTATGATTTAAGCATTTCTTCGCCTCAGCTGCATCTTCAGGATAACGAAACTTCACAAAGCCAAAACCCCGGGGTTCTCTATATTGCAAAAATTAACAAATGCCAGGTGGAAATGTGATCCAGCAAAACCAGAACCTCAAACTACTGAAAATATTAATACAGGAGCCAAAAAACGCAGCATACCCACTGTAGTAATTTTTCGGTAAGTAAACATCTTTTATCGGACCAAACCGCTCGAAAGGTACTCTGATATCTTCTGGCCTAAAGAAGGACGGGTAATATTAAGGATTTCATATTCTCTACCAAATAAATATGAACACCAAACTCATACCCATTTGTTAAAAAAGGGTTCAATAAAATGCAATGAAAACATTGTATTGTAGAAATATAGAAAATATAGAATGCTCTGAAGAGGGATGTTATTGGAAAATAGTCTCTCTCACTCTCTACACATACATGTGTAGATATTTTCACACATATGTATACTCCTATATAATACATACATACATATATATACACACACACATGCATGCCCACATTCACATATACACTCACACACACATATAAATATCATTTAAAATGATATTTTATTTAGATAATGAAAAGGTACACCTTTTGTCTCACAATTATTAGGTCTTGGACATTCATTATTTTGGACATTCATTATTCCTACTTTTGGTGAATGACTGAATATTTTGCTTCTTTTGATCCTTTTACTCCGGCCAAAATTAACAGGCTATTGTCATGTAAATTACAATTACTCATTCTAGGAGGATTTTAGGGTTCACATTTTTCTATAGGTGTACAACAACATTGTGATTTTTTTGGGATAAGGGTCAATTTGGTCCTCGAAGTTGCAAAAAAGGTGTCAAATAAGTCCTTATATAGAAGATTCTGTCCGGACGTGCCATTTGAGGTGGCTCCCGGTGGAATTTTTTGATTAAATTTTTTGAGCATCTTATTCATTAAGTCTAGTTTACTCATACCAAATTTCAGGAAAAAATTCAATCGGGAAGACATTCAAATGAATTCTTAAAGATAACTGTACCGTTAAAAGCGCAGTTATCTTCAAGAATTCATTTGAATGTTTCCCCGATTGAATTTTTAGCTGAAATTTGGTACGAGTAAACTAGACTTAATGAATAAGATGCTCAGACAATTTCATCAAAAAATTCTACCGGGAGCCACCTCAAATGGCACGTCCGGACAGAATCTTCTATATAAGGACTTATTTGACCCCTTTTTTGCAACTTCGAGGACCAAACTGACCCTTTACTCGATTTTTTTTTATGAATTTGTCGCGATTTTGTTTAGAAATATCAGAGTGACCTGATATCCATAGGGATAAATAATCATGCACCAATTACCAATAGTTGATGAAAAACCTGAACCAAATATGGGATTAACCTAAATATTGTGAGAAAGAAGTGGACGAGTCCCTTTAGAAAATAAAACGTCTCAAATGCTTCATTGTTGAGAAAAATATCAAGAAATTGTGTTTCTGAAAGGATTTTCGATTGTGTTGTCTCACAAGGCTTCGCATGTATCATAAAAAGAAATGTGCTGATAAAAAACAACGAATATACAGAGAGATACGCGCAGAAGGATATATAAAGAAGAAAAGAGACCTGGAGCTGAGAGAAATATTTCGAACGAGAAGGCCAGAGGGAGCAGGGGAATGGCGGTCTGCACGGCGGTCTGCACGGCGGTCGCGAGGGTCTTCGTATCGCTTGCTTGGCACGGGGCTGTGGCTCCGACTGCGGCTTCGGTGCCTTCCCATTCTTTGCGAGGTTCTCATAAAACCCTAAACCCTAACATAAGTGTCTTCTTCAAACGGGTGACCTGAACTCATAATCACGGGGTAGGGATGGCATGAGCCTCTCAAGTGTCTTTTTTTTTGTTTCCTTTTTTTGGCAACATTTTTTTTTGTTTCCTTTGTAACTTATGTTTTCTTTTGAACTGAAATTTGTTTGTTCGGTCTGATATGAACTAATCATATCAAAAGATCTGGTCTGGTTTGGTCTAGTCTGATTTGATCTGCTTTGGTATGATCTGATCTGATTTGATCTGGTCTAAGATTGAAAACATTTCAAAAGAAAACATCTTTCGACTTGCTTTTTTTTGGGAAAACCATTAGATAAGTTCTCCACTTCTCATACTATAGTCAAAATGTCGATTAGGCTCTCGCACTTCAAAAACACCCAATTGAAACCCCGAACTCTTCAAAAATACCCAATTGAGACTATTAGCCAGTAGTGATAGAGTATATGGGCCTGGAACCCATGACCCACATACTCAAGTCAACGATGACCAGAACAGCATCCACGTAGCCCTTCGGCCCTGTGGGGGTCCGCATCGGCCAGGAATCAAACCGGCCCAGGAAGCGCACCTGGACTCCGGGGCCGCATCGGCCCATGGACCGCATCGGCCATGGGACCGCATCGGCCAAAGTGCACCGCATCGGCCAGGCCTCGTCCTAGCAGAATGCATTTCTCTACTTTATTTGCTAAGTATTGTACTCAGCCCATTAGTGGCCTTATTTCGCCCAAAGAAGGCATGATTATTGTAATGGGCCTCCTAAGTCCATGGCTAGGAGCCCAAATCCACATTTTTACCTATAAATAGACCCCTTGGGGCTAGTTATAGGGGGTTGAGAAATATAATTACCCACTTTCTCTCTCTAGCTCTCACTTCTCTCTAGAATTAATACGCTATCATTTGGTGCTCTCGTTGAGAGCCTAGAACAGATCAAGTGAGTACCCCTCGTCGCTACTAGACGCAACAGAATGACAAGAACTAGGTCAAAGAACACCGGAAGGAATGCCCCTCTGAACCAGGAAGGGCAGGGAAACGTTGCTGACAACGTCCCCAATGATCTCATCATTCAGGATGAGAACGCTCAGGAGGTCGAGCTCGCAGCGGCCGACCTTCGCACCCAGCTCAACAAGACTGCCCCAGACGCCCGCATCGGGCTCGAGGACAAGCGCAATGCTGATCGCGCTTCGGGCCAGCAGACTTCTCACCCTGCTGCCCCCCCAGATCAACCCGGCCGCACTATCGGCCATCGTCGCAAGCATTCTCCAGGACCCCAACGTCGTCAGCGCCCTCGTCGCAAAGACAGGGGAAAACAACACTCCCGTGACTGGAGAAGCCGCGACGGTGCCACCACCGCCGCCTCGGCCACAAGGCGTCACCTTCTTCGGCAACGACGAAGGCATCCTCGCCGCGGACACCCATTCCCATACTGCCTCTCCTACCCGGGATACACCGGCCCAACCTCGCGGTAAAATCTCGGCCTTCAATAGGTTGGGTGACATCGCGAGCCGTCGGGTACCTACGGGAAGGGTTGCGGATCGGTTGGGTGGTCGCGAGCCGGGATCACCAAAGGAAAGCTTCGGGTCCGTTTCCCGGACAACGGATCGGCCCCGACCAGACAAAGGCAAAGGAAAGCTGAATGATGATGATGCGCGTCACCAGATCAACCTGGCCCACGCGGCCCGGATCCAGACCCCTCTGGGTGGCGCTGCGGCCAACACGGACCCAAGGGACGAGATCATCGCCCACCTGGAGAAGCGCCTCGCTGATATGGAGGCCCGAGAGGCCGCAGGGCGCGCAGCGGCTCACACATCCCAGCATCCCAACTACGATGCACTCCTGCACAAGGTCAGTGCCTTGGAGAGGGAGTTGGCCGACCGACGCGACGAGCCCGTCATCCAAATACGGACCCGGACCCCCTTCTCTGCGAGGGTGCTCTCCGCTCCCATCCCAGAGAAGTACAAGGGGAATCCAATCAAGCCATATGACGGCCGCACTGATCCTCAGGAGCATTTCACCCGCTATCAGAACAACATGATGATGACCAACGCTTCGGAGGAATACATGTGCCGCTGGTTCCTATCCACCTTGGAAGGGCCAGCGAATGATTGGTTCAATAACCTTCCAGAAGGGAGCATCGACTCATGGCAGGACCTTGCTCAGCGCTTCCTCACTCACTTTGCCGGGAGGAAACGTGCGAAGAAGCATTTCGCTCATCTCCTGACCATCAAACAACAGCCGGAGGAGACGCTCCGAGCCTTCCTCGATCGCTGGACGAGGGAGGCGGACGAATGCGAGGGAGCCGATGAACGCACCCTCCTGGCCTTCCTCCGCGGAGCACTCCGGCCGAGCCACTTCGCCCGGAGCCTGTTCACGGAGCCTCCGCGGTCATACCTCGCGGCGCTCCGACGCGGAGATAGGCACGCTGATGCCGACGAGCTCCTGAACCAGAAGAAGGGGGGGGAGAAGCAACAAAAGAAGGACTCCTCGTCCAACCCCCACCACCCGCCGGCCAACAAGGGACAGCACCAGCCAAAGAAGGCACACCAGGAGCAAGGCGGACAGCGGAGAGAAGACCGCTCATGGCGCCCAAAGTTGGAGGCACAGCGCATCCCCCTCACCCACCCGGTGAGCGTCGTCCTCGACCACGCCGAGGCGCAGGGCCTCATTATATTGTGAAGGACCCCAGGTCAGAGGAGGAGATATTTGCGGTCCACAAAGGAGGGACATACTGCAAGTACCACCGCCAGACATCCCACAAGACCGAGGATTGCACCACCTTGAAGAGGCACATCGACGGTCTCATCCGACAGGGGGAACTTTCCCAATTTGTCAAGGGTGCCCCCAAGAGTAACACTTGGGTTAACCCTAACAAAAGGGGGGAAGGATCCTCCGGGAAAAAGAGGGAGATCGGCGCCCTCAGTGAAGATGAGGACGAAGAGGAGCCCCGCGCGAAGAAGCATCACATTCACATCATCGTCGGCGGAAACACAGGGGGGGACTCGGCTACCCAACGGAAGAAATGGGCTCAGTCCCTATACGTTGGTGAGGTGACCCACGCCCCCCCTCAGCCGAAGCGGCGGCATGTGGAAGCCATCACTTTCACCGACAAGGACCTCCCCTTCGGCCCCTTGCCCCACAGGGAGTCAGGGACGCCCTCGTCGTCAAATGCGAGATTGGCAACAACATCATCCACCGCAACTACATCGACACTGGCAGCTCCGTCAATGTGATGTATGTTGATACATTCAGACAGCTGAAGCTGAAGAAGACCGAGCTCCGGCCGATACGGACTCCGTTATCCGGCTTCACCGGGGACTCTATCGATGCCGAGGGCACGATAGTGCTTCCCGTTGTGGTCGGTGACGGTACCTGTCAGGCGAAGATTGACATGGAGTTCGTGGTCGTCAACCTGGACAGCGCCCACAACATGATCTGGGGACGACCGGCCTTGGAGGACCTTGAGGCCATCATCTCCATGAGACATCTATGCCTCAAGTTCCCCACCAAGGACGGCGTCGGCTACGCCAGAGGGAACCAGAAGATAGCCAGGGCTTGCTACCTGAAGCTCACAAGGAAGATCAATGAGGCCGAGGAGCGGATAGACACTATCACCACCGCCTCGGCCGAAGAAGACATACCGAAGGCCGAACCGGTCGGAGACGCGGAAGAGGTTCCATTGGACGTCTCTCGGCCGGAACGCACGCTGAAGATTGGGACACAGCTCCCCCAACAGATCCGAAGGAACATCCTCTCTGTCCTGAGAGCGTACGCCGTCGTCTTCGCATGGGGACCAGAGGACATGCCGGGCATCAGCCCGAAGGTAATCACGCATCGGCTATCGGTGAACCCGGCCTCCTCCCCCATCAAACAGAAGAAGCGCTACCTCTCAGCCGACAGGAGGGAATTTGTCAAGGTCGAGGTGGCCATGATACTCAATATCAAGCACATCAGAGAAGTGAAGTACCCCACGTGGTTGGCGAACGTCGTCCTCGCCCCAAAGCCGCCTACGTTCAGAATGTGTGTTGATTACACTGACTTGAACAAGGCGTGCCCAATGGACCCATTCCCTCTCCCCAACATTGATCAGTTGGTGGATGAGACGGCGGGGGTGCGAGTTGATGTCGTTCCTCGACGCGTTCAGAGGGTACCACCAGATATCCATGCACGAAGATGACGCGGAGAAGACTGCTTTCATGACCCCGGAGGGAATTTTTTGCTACCTCGTCATGGCCTTTGGGCTCAAGAACTCCGGCGCCACCTACACAAGGATGGTAGCCCGGATTTTTAGAGCAGTCTTAGGTCGGACGATGGAAGCATACGTCGACGATATGATCGTCAAGAGCAAACAATCCACAACCCATGCCGACGACCTCCGGGGCATCTTCGAAATCATGAAGAGGTATAACCTCCGGCTCAACCCGAAGAAGTGCACCTTCGGCGTCCAGGGAGGTAAATTCTTGGGGTACCTAGTCAGCCGAAGGAGCATCGAGGTGAACCCAGAAAAAATACACGCCATTATCAACATGGAGCCGCCCCGCAACATAAAGGAGGTGCAACGGCTGACGGGACGCCTCGCGGCCCTGAACCATTTTCTCTCAAAATCCGCTGAGAAATCTCTCCCCTTTTTCCAAATAATGAGAAAGGCCGCTAGCTTCAAATGGACGACGGAGTGCCAACAAGCCTTTGACGAATTAAAGCAATATCTCGCCTCCCCACCCGTCCTATCCAAGCCCCAACCCGGCGAGACTCTCTTCCTTTACCTAGGAGTGAGCACGTCGGCCGTCAGCTCCGTACTCATCAGGGAAGATGACGGGGTACAAAAAGCTATATTCTACGTCAGCAAGACGTTGCGGGAGGCCGAGCTTAGGTACTCCCCCATTGAGAAGACGGTGCTGGCCATCGTCCACACGGTGAAAAAACTTGGACACTACTTCCAGGCTCACCCCGTCCACGTCCTCACGCATCAGCCATTGGGCGCCCTCATGAGGAGCCCAACCAGCTCTCCAAGGATGATCAAATGGGCGATATTCCTGAGCTAGTACCAGATTGAGATCAAGCCGAGGCCATCCATCAAAGGGCAAGCCTTA